CATCACATCCCTCTTCTCAGACCACAGAGGGCTCAGGGAGGCCTGATGGAGTTCCACCCTAGCTCTGCTATTTTTAGATGTCTGATCTTAATCTCCTTGAGCAGCACTTTCTTATTCTGCAAGATGGAGATTAGGATTCCCCTAGGGGTTGATGTCAGAAGGAAACCAGCTAGATTTGAGAACACAGAATATAACCTTGAGAAATAGCAAGAACCTTGCAATACCTTCTGAGCACTCTAAAGAAACGTCCAGGCAAGACACAGAATCAGGCCTCTCTCTTTAAGGCCAAAGGTCCTTCTCAAGGGCCAAGACTCCTCTAGAGTGAAATCTACACCCTGAATTGTTCAAGACTCTCAAGAAAGACTACTGTCTACTACCCTAAGGCACCCCAACATATAAGCTGCTCCCAGGAAGCTGTGCCCCTTCGAAGATGGTAGTCTGTCATTTGTTCCCTGGATGCTCCCAGAAGTGAGGCAATGTTTCCAGGTAAGGTCCCAATGGGTTTGCCTGTGGCAGACTGTACCACTGTACATTGAGATTAGAACCTAGAAGGAGTTGACAATTCAACTTTCTTCCTTAATTATCTTAATCCAGTTTGGATGAGGTACATTGAAGATGCCTCAAAACAAGTCGAAATATTAGTAGGGAAAATAATCCCGCCTGTGTAAACGTAGAGCTTGTAGAATAGCACTGTTCCAACAGAAGGACAACACCAGCCATATACAGAATTAAATATTTTCATGGCAATAGTTTAAAAAGTAAAACAAGTGAAATTAATTTTAATAATATTATTTACAGCCAAACTATAATTTTTTTGACCTGTATTCAGTATTTTTTTTTTTGAGACAGAGTCCCACTATGTTGCCCTTGGTAGAGTGCATAGCATCACAGCTCACAGCAACCTCCAACTCTTGCGCTCAAGCGATTCTCTTGCTTCAACCTCCCATTGTTGTTTGGCAGGCCAGGGCGGATTCGAACCCCCAGCTCTGGTGTATGTGGCCGGCGCCCTGGCCGCTTGAGCTACAGGCGCCAACCCTGTATTCAGTATTTTTAACATTACCTACAGCCAAAGTATCTTTTTGACTTGCATTCAGTTTCTTAAAAAATTCGTAATGAGCTATTTCACATTCTGTTTTTTCAGACTCAGTGTCTGAAATCCGGTGTGTATCCTGCACCCAGAGCGCGTCTTAGTCGGGACTAGTCACATTTCAAGCCCTCAAAAGGCCCGTGTAGAGGGGAAGGCGGGGAGGAAGAGGGGTGCAGACCCACCCTCGCTGCACCCACCTTCTTCTGGAGAAAGCCCGGGGGGCCGCGGCGGATGGCCAGCAGCGCGGTGTAGTGCAGCGTCTCACGCACAGTCAGGCTGCTCAGCAGCGTGTCGCTCTGCGGGACAGGGGCAGTCAGCGTTGCTCCAGCCCCTGGGCGGGACGGCAGGGCAGGGGTGGGGGGACATTCCCACCTGCAGGACGTAGGAGAAGCAGTCCTGGAACTGCTCTCGGCGCAGTGGCTGGCCATTCACATACACATCCCCGAGTAAGGTCCCCTTGCGCCTCAGCCTCCCTGACATGGCATCCAGCAGCGTGGTCTTCCCAGAGCCTGCCGGCGACAAGTGGAGGCCCTGGTGGTGTACCTCCGTGATCTTCTGTGACAGCCTTGGATGACCCTCCCGAGACCCCATGTGGAGACGTGACCTCGAGGTCCAGCCCTGATTTGTTCTCTCCTTAACCTCACGGGTCAAACTCTGCTGGCACAAACTCATCGCTGGCTTACTCCCCGACCAAGACGCGGCAGTGAGGCCTTTCGCTCATCTAAGTCAAGGATGAAGATGCTTTGTCTGCTTATTTGCTGTTAAAACTGTTTGGGGTTGAAAAACAAAATACCTATAGGATCAGCGTAAAAGGAAAGCCAGGGCTCTTGTTAACATTTGGATCGTAGGACATCTGAATTTCTTTCTGTGGCCCCTGGGGTCATCTGGTTGTAGCTGGATGTGGGTGACATTGCCTAGAGCTGGGCTAACAAAGTGTGTTGGGAGGACCGGCAGCATCAGCATCCCTGAGACCCTGTGAGAAACGCAGTCCAAGGCCCCACCCCAGGCCTGCTGAGTTGAGTTTGAGCAGCGCTGGCTCCGGGAGTAAGCCACATTGGCCACCGCCTGCACTGAGAGCCCTGGGCATTTTTGTCACTAAAAACATTCCCATGGAGGAGTTGTAGGGAATCAACTGCTCAGTGCTTGAGGTGACTGGAGGATGACATTTTCACTGGTTTGCTTTTTAATAGGGTTAGAGGCCAGGTGAGCCTTTAAGATAAGAAAACACCAGGCTTGGCTCAGCGCCTGTGGCTCAAGGGCTAGGGCACCAGCCACATACACCTAAGGTGGTGGCTTCAAATCTAGCTCGGACCCGCCAAACAACAATGATTGGTTACAACTTGGAGTAACCAGTATTTGGGCATCATCTGACAAGGCCGTTGATTTGACCAGTTGACAGCTTGTGATTGTCTGAAGTTTGGCTATCAAGATTGGCTGAGCTAGCTCGGTGCCTATGGCTCAAGTGGCTAAGGCGCCAGCCACGTACACCCAAGGTGGTGGGTTCGAATCCAGCCCGGGCCCGCCAAACAACAATGACGACTGCCACCAAAAAATAGCCGGGCGTTGTGGCAGACGCCTGTGGTCCCAGCTACTTGGGAGGCTGAGGCAGGAGACTCGCTTGAGCCCAGGAGTTGGAGGTTGCTGTGAGTTGTGATGCCATGGCACTCTACCCAGAGGAACAGCCTGAGGCTCTGTCTCAAAAAAAAAGAAAAAGAAAAGAAAACAGCAGGCTCCTCTCAGTCTTACTGGACACAGCTTTACATGGGCCCAGAGCTGCTAGGGGCAGCACAGACTGTGTCAGGCCTTTTGTATTTAAGGCTGCAAAGAAGTCAGAATTAATAACAGAGGAAATAGGCAGGAAGTTCTGAACTATCTGAGAAGACAGCAAGAGAATTCTACTGAGGATGTGAAGGCTTGTGCAGAGCCAAAAAGAAGATCTTTCATTCAAATATTTTAAAGAAACCACGTGTTGCTATGAGGGGTACAAAGATAAATGAGCTCCTGGGACAGTTGTTGTCTCTTCTAACCCATAAATGACAAACTCAGCATTAGCCCCAGTGTGTCCAGGCGGAGGTCGGAGTGGGAAAGGGGAAGAACAATGACAAAGAAACAAAATAGGACTCCACAGAAGCTGCCTTTCAAAACCTGCCCTGTGATTTCCCGTTGAGATCGGAGGCCTTGGGTGTGGTTCCTCCAACAAAGCCTCCTGGGCCTTACATTTCTGGAATCCAGAAATGGACTTTTTTTTTTTTTTTTGAGACAGAGTCTCACTTTGTCACTCTTGGTAGGGTGCTGTGGCATCATAGTTCACAGCAACCTCAAACTCTTGGGCTCAAGTGATTCTCTTGCCTCAGCCTCCCAAGTAGCTGGCACTACAGGCATCTACCACAACCCCTGACTCTTTTTTAGGGGTCTCACCGTGGTTCAGGCTGGGCTTGAACCTGTGCGCTCAGGCAGTCCACCTGACTCAGGTTCCCAGAGTGCTAGAATTATAGGCATGAGCCACTGTGCCTGACCACTTTTCTGGAATCCAATCTCAATTCCAGCAGGGGCTGCAAATATCCTGCAGCTGTGACTCCAGCTCCTCCACTACAAAACTGACCTCACCGGGGATATTAAGGCTGCTTTATCGTTGCCAAATCCAGTGGACACCACTCTTGTGCCCAAGATAGAACTACTCAACCAAATCATTTGCAAATCTAACCCATAGCAGCTCTAAAATATAATTAATGATGCTTTTGTTGTTTTAAGCTACTAAGTTTTGGGATACTTCTTTATTTTTTTTACATAGAAATAGATAACTAATTTCAGTTTTTGAAACAATAGGTCAAATATTTATTAACTCATTAATGAGAGAACTAGCAAGATGACAAAGCTCATCCAAAAAAGAATACGAGAAATACATATATATGTATATAATCAGGGGAGAAAGGAAGGTTGGAATAAGGTAGCAAAGTTAGACACAAAAATGATTAATTCCCTCCATGGCAATAAAACCATGATATTTGGGGTTATCGTCTCTAAAAAGAGCAAAATCAGGCTCGGCGCCTGTGGCTCAAGCGGCTAAGGTGCCAGCCACATACACCTAAGGTGACAGGTTCAAATCCCCAGCCTGGACCCACCAAACAACAATGATGGCTGCAACCAAAAAATGGCCGGGCGCTGTGGCGGGCGCCTGTGGTCCCAGCTACTTGGGAGGCTGAGGCAGGAGACTCGCTTGAGCCCAGGAGTTGGAGGTTGCTGTGAGTGTGATGCCATGG